GTGGTTTCCTATGAATTTGTGTTACATATTCTTTGATTTTTTAAATTTTTTTTTCCCCCTTCCACTGCAGTGACTTCAGCTTCCCCTCACCACAAACTCTACTGTATCTCTAGTCCCCATTCTTTTACACTTTTCCTAAGCTTCCTTTCCACCTGTTTTATGTTCAACTACCTTGATGTCTCCTGACTTTCAGTTGGGTAGGAACCAGACAGGGTTGTGGCTGATTCCAAGGTTTAAATGTAGTAGGTCAACTAGCAGTCCAACGGAACAGATGACAGTTGGGCTTAGGTAATGACACTTTCATTTGTGACAATGCTAACTGACTTTCAACAAACTTAAAGAAAAGATCTATAAGTTCATAACAGGGACCACTCCTCTCTTAAATTTGGTTGAAAAACAAAAGAATGGGAAGGGGAGGATAAACAGACCATAATCACAGAAGCTGAACCATTTTAGGAATCCAAGGATTGAAAAAAAAAGTTGCATCTTCTGAATCCTGTTTCTGGCTTACTCTATCAACTCTGCAAAATCCTACCAGCTGCTGGTATATGTGGAATGGAAGGGTGCATAATTTTCATCAATCCTTTAGCCTTAAAATGTTTTTAAAAAAACTTATGCTTTGTTTAGCATAATTAGAATTTAATATTTTGCCAGTTGAGTTTGCCTGTCTTACAGTTATATGGGGAGAGGTAATGTTGTCTGTTTTATTTTAAAAATTCCCCCCAAAATATGAGCTCATATGCTTTTGTTCCTCTAGATGGAATTCAATGAGAAGGAACTGCGAAGAGAAATAAGTTATGCCATCAAGAACATACATGGTATCAGGCAAGTGCTCCCATGTTTTCAAGCCCAATCACATTATAGAGGTTGTGGTCTTTTTAACCTGTGGACACGCTGGCTGTTGACTGCTAGACTGCGTTACTAATGCACTGCTCTCAGCAGCTGACTTTTTTTCTTCCACTCCTTTACACTGCTGTTTTTCAGGTAACTGTTTTGGGCCAAATGGTTGATTTGCCCAAAGAGGTTTAATTTACCTGGAATTCTGGAAAATTATTTTACAGAGAAAATAAGTTACTTTTTTTCTGGTAGTGTCTGCAGTTCTGTTAAGGCTGTAATCCTGAAAAGTCGTAAGTTTTAGAGGGAACATGTATGTCTTGATATAAAAAAAACCTTTCAGTCTTGCAGCAGACTCCTTGCTTACTTACTCCACTTTATTCTCAAACATTTCTTGAAATGACTGCTTTACAAGTGAGTTGACTGAGATTTCACTTTGTGGATATGTCTGCAGTATATTACTAGGTTTGGGTGGAGGAGGTATTTGGGGTTTTTTTGTTTAGAATAACCTAATTATCTCACTTTGGAATGACTCTTTCATTCATTTTGGAGGGATGCTTTCAGATGCATACCTATTTTTTGTTCTTTTAACAATAGAGCAAATTCCGAAAAGCTTGGGTTCTTCTTCTGTGTGTGTGGGTTTGTTTTTTTTGTTTTGTTTTGGTTTGGTGGGGTTTTTTTTCCCCCCCCTCTCCTCCTACCCACTTGTGAGTACATAGTAGTTTTTGAAAGCATTGCTTACAAGCTTTGTTGTTCTTAACGTTTTGGAAAATGGCCTTTGTGTTACTTGTATAGTAAATTCTCAAACGGATAGGTCTAGTAGCTGAGGTGCAGCATTTGAAGCTTTCTGGCCTTGTTGATGGAAAAGACTTGATGGGCAATTTATGGTAGTGAACTGATAGTTTTGGGCATGTTTTTATAGTTTGCTTTTTTGTGCAGTTTATCTGCCAAGATAGACCTTTGCAAGCAGTGACTGAAAGAGAAGTAAGGCCTATTTGTTTAAAAATGATTGTGAGCTGTTATAAAGGTTCATACATATCCTGCAGTGACCAATGGTGAAATTCTCCATATAGGACTCTGAGTAACAGAACCACATTTCCTTCTGTGAGTGGAAAGTATGGCTATAGGATTCTTATGGATTTGCTATGCAAGTGATTGTGCATGCAGTGCTGCAGCTGCCTTTCATCCATTCTCCAAGGTTTGATGTACTGCTGAAGAGGCTTTATTGCTTTATATCAGTACTCTTTACAGTTCTCACAGTCATCTTCAAATAGTAGGGCATTTTGTGCACTTTTATATTCTTACATTGACACTGTTTTTTAGAGAATGGAGCAAATCTAGTTCTGTGGAAGTCTGTTTGCACAGGGATTGTTATTACTGAGCTGTAAGGGTCTGAAAATGAAGATCTGAGCAATTCAGTAAAAAAGAAAAATCTTCCTTGCATGATGTTTTTATTACTGTCTTACAAATTCTTTTATGTCCACAGAACAGGTTTGTTTACTCCAGATATGGCGTTTGAAGCCATTGTTAAAAAACAGATAGTTAAGCTGAAAGGACCTTGCTTAAAAAGTGTGGATCTGGTGATGCAAGAATTAATCAACACTGTCAAGAAGTGCACTAAAAAGGTAACTTGCAAATAGATCTGGTAGTGTAAGTATTATGTAATGATATAGTAAATGATATAAAGCAACTCTGGCATTTTATGGTATTATGAGAGATTTCTGGTCTAGTTACTTGATGTACAAAGTAAGACTCTCTAAAGTAATTACAACTTCTGCAAAATTCTCAAAACAATGTAATACTGGAAATGTTCATTTTTTAATTCCTGTGTTTGGAAAAAAAACCCCAGTATATGCACCTTGTGATTGGAGTTTTTTTGAGTCAAGAGTTGTCCTCAGTTTCGTCTTTAAAACTACATTTTCATTGGTACTGAAAATGGAACACAGGCAACAATTCCACAGATGTGTAAATCGGCCCAAAAAAAAAAATTATACTTTAAAGTTTTCTTTTCCAATGCTGATAAGTGGAAGAAAGAGTGAAACTTTTCTAGAGCAAAGGCCTCAAATGTGTTCAGAGACATCTACCAAGGAGAGAAAAATGCTCTTTCTATATTGAAACTTTACTGGGCAGCAGTACAGTTCTTTTCAGTGTAATTGGTCCATAACTTCTCCTGTGCTTTTGTCATATACAACCCTAAAAGATCTGATCTCCAGCTGTCAAGAAGATAGAAGGGGAAAGCTAGGAAGACTTAATCTCGCTTGTATTTGTACATCCTTGCATTAGTGTTGATGAATGAGCTTTCTGCACAGAAACACTGAACATTTAAGTGGAAAGAACTGCTGACCATTGACCTTCCTGATGTAGAAGTTGTGTGCATCAGTTAAACTTAACTCAAGATCCTATAAGTGTAGTAAATTAAGAAATAAGTTCATCAAAACTAAACATAGCATTACTAGGTGTATTTGGGAATGGTTTGCCTGAAATATGTGTTTGGGCTGGTGTATAGTCTTAGAATGAAACCTCAAACTTCACAGCCCCCAGCTGAGGCTCAGGAAGCATGTCAGATATATTATTATGAAGCTTTTTTTTCCCCTCACTTTTCACCTTCATGGGAAAGCTGTCATCTGCAAATACTGCAACTCACTTGTCTGGAGCATTGACAACAAGAGTTGCTGATTCTCAATCCTATGTTCTCCCACTACTCTGTGATATTCTAGAAAAGACTCTAATTGACGCATGTAGGCTTCTGAAGTAACTGACTACTTTTATTGTCTCACCTTCTGTTCATCTGTCTTTCCCACTGTCTCAGAGTGCAGGGTACCCTAATAGTAGCAAGTGCAGGAGCAGTTCTGGGATGTGAGCACAAGAGTGCTGAAGTTGTTGAGAAATATCCTGTCACATCCTTTACATTTTTCTAAATAATGTAATTTTTTTTTTTTTTTGTACTAATGAGTGGGTAAAAGAATTGTTTATTAAAACAGGGAAGGGTGACAATCTCTTTGACAAAGATCGTAGAGAAAGCGGATTCACTACAATAGTTTGAGTGGAGTTTCTAGATGATTTAACTTTTGTCAAAATTTGGAAGATATGTGACTTGAATTAATTGTGCAGATTCTTTTCCCGGTGTTATTGGCCAAAATTTACTGTTGTGTTTTGCTGTTTACATTGTTACTGAGATGTAAAGAAGTTGCCACAAGGTGGAGCCTTCAAAGAACGAGAAACCTGGAAATTATATTTAAAGTGGCACTCTGGAATTAGGCACAGTAGAAGAGAGAGGCATGGAGAAACTTCACCCCAAGGCTGATAAACTGTGTCCAAAGTGTCTTTTCCTCAGTATTCCATGGAGCGAAAGTACAGAAACAATCTAAGTGTTTAGGTCTCTCCAGTTTCTCTGGAAAATGACCATTAATAGCAAGGAAGGTTTACTTCGTGGTGTAGTTAACTTTTAGTCCGAGCATTTATAATAATGGTTTTCTAACAAAGGGGAAAGCTGGAAGCTCCCCCTGTTTGTATTCTACTGAAGCCACCCTGCAGGTGTAAAATCCTAATAATTTTGCTTTACAGTTGGCAACATATCCAAGATTGTGTGAGGAAACAGAAAGAATTGTAGCTGGCTACATTCGTGAAAGAGAAGAGAAGACCAAGGATCAGGTGAGAATAAATAGGCAATCTAACAGTCTGGGGAAGTGTGTGAAGGAGGAAAGTTCTTACATACAAAGTACAGTATGACAATGAAAGATTTTTATTTTCAATGGGCTGCACATTTTAAAGGGGGAGAAAAATTGCTCCTCTACCAATGAGTTTTGACAGAAGAGACTAAATTGTAACAGAAAATCCTAATCTGTTTTTTTCAAGATTAGGATTGGTGGCTTAAAGTGGCGTTGGTTTGTGCCACAGTGTGCCGTCTTCTTAGCTGTGCCACAGCAGCTGTTTCTGGGAAATTGATTAGTGGTTAAAAAAATGTGCACAGAAATACCCAGCCTTTTTTCTACTTTATTTCCATTTTTTTCTAACACACCCATCCCATGTTCTAATTACAGTGAGGCCCACAAACAATTGTACTGGGACGCTTGTGGTAGTGATGAGCTTTCCTTCAAGTTTAAAAAAAGTTTTAAAAAAAGAAAAAAATAATCAGACAAACTTGTTTAGAACACTCGGCACCCAACTAAGCACTCCAAATCCAGGAAACTTCAAACCTTAGATTACATGTGAAAAAATCCACTGGAATTGGAAACAGGAATTATTATCTGGAGATTGCAGAGTGTGACAACAGAAATATTTGGGGAAGAAGGGCTAGGCAGAGCTCCTAAGTTGTTCTGGGCTCTTTGCTCTCTAGTCCTGTCCCTGTGTGAGCTGGGGAGCTGTGCAGCATGTCCTGCTTCTCGTCCTTCCATCTGTGTTGTGAATGTAGTCTTAAAAATAATCTTTTAAAGATTGCATTTGCTGGGCTTGTACTTGCAGGGAGTTCTGGTTAGCACACTGTTATTTAAAAATTTGGAAGAAGATAAAGTTACTTAGAATAACTGAGTTATTATTATTATTATTATTATTATTATTATTATTATTATTATTATTATTATTATTCCATTCTTCATTGTGTGTTCATACCTGGCAATTTCCCAGAACAAAGTACAAAATACCAGCTTTCTGTAAATGCCAAGAATTGGTCAAATAGGTTATTGTCACATATTCACATCATTATTTATGCTCTTAGCAGTTATCATTAATAAATCAAAACACTAATGAGGATATTATTGGAGGTAAGAGTTAGATCTGAATCCCCACTATATTTTACTCTGAGGCACCTACCTAATATCTGCTGGAAATCGTGAAGAATTTGGGAGTGATGCTGTGTTTGAGGAGCTGTACAGAAATAACTCTGTACACTTTGAAGCAATTAAATGCTACCATTTGGTAACAATAGGTTTCTTCCTTGCTCCCTGCTGATAAATGGAAGTCTGAAAAGATGATGGGAAAGTAGTCTCGTGCATGTTCAAGAAGCTGTTCAAGTGTGGGAGTGAGCTTTCTAATATCTTAGCAAGTTCTTTGCTGTGTTACATTATCGAGTTTGAATCAAATTCTGTCTCTGGGCTGTTGAAGGACTGACAAGTGTTAGTACACTGTGTGCACAAAGTACACAAACTATTCATTCTGTTATTTCATTGACTAGCCCATCTCTCAAGCCAGATGTGTGCACCAGGATGAGTGTCTAGTACCCAGACTGTACATTTTCTGGGCCATGGTGAGCTTACCTATCGCTTCTTTGTGTAATACCTAAAGAAAACTTAGGTACTGTGATTTCAGGTTTAAGGTTCAGGTTCCTTGCTGGCTTGGCTGGAATGCTACAAGTAGACAGTTTTGCTTAACTTGCAAAATGTAGAACTAGAATCTATGTTACACATTATTAAACTATCTCTGGCCATGTTTGATTGATCTTAATGAAGTGGACAAGGGCCAAGATACTGAAAAATTAGGTCTGTCAGGAAAAAAATAGGAAGAGGGAATAGCTCTTCTGTCATCTAGCTTATTAAACAAGAACACAAACAAAGGTGGTGGGATTTAGAAAATATTGTTGCTTTTGGCTTGAACGATTATCAAAGCAATATTTAATAATGCAGAAAACTCAAAAGTTCTGTTCTTTTCTCCCTTCCTTTTCCTCAGTCTCTCTCCTCACCTTACCCATCCTTTTTTTTGCTCTTCTGTCTCTCCTAATAGGTGCTGCTGCTGATTGATATCCAGGTTTCTTACATCAACACCAACCATGAAGACTTCATTGGCTTTGCAAAGTATGTATATAGAGACTTTACTATAAAGACACTGTTGGGGTTTTTTTTCTGGGTTGTTTTTTTTTTTAAAATATTAATTTCAAAATACAAGTCCTGAAGTATGACAGTGAAGATGCAAGCTGCAAAGCTCCAAACAAACTGGAACATGCTTTTTCTCAATATACAGTGCTTCGAACTCAGCCCCACTTGTGGAATATTCTTTATGCTGGCTCACAAGCCTAGTTTCACTGAAGCTGAAGCTTATGGCTTGGTCTGGAATCACATACATCTGGGGAAGCAGCTTTGGCAAGCCCATGCCCTCACTGTATCCATTTTAGGACCACAGAAATGTATAATATTGGTGGTCTTTCCACATTGCTGCTAATGCATATTTTGGGAGCTGTGATTCTGTGTGAAACAGTTTTGCTCAGAGTAATGGATGTCACTGAATTATAAGTGCGCCTGCTGTTTGGCTGTAGAGAATAATAGTAGCAGAATGCCCTGCAGGGCCTGGTTTGACGTTCTCCTCACTTAGTTGAAAAGGCTGTGAGAATATTCTCCAGAATGTTCTCCCTCGGCTTCCAGCAATTTGTGCTTCAGGGACTTCATACCAACATTTTGACAGCAGTGAAAACATTAAAGATGTCTTCACTCTTTGAAGAGTAAATGTTCCTTCAGTCCTATTCATGCCATATTTGCCATAACAGTGTTTGGAATCACAACAGGTTTCATACATGTGGGATGCTGGCAACAAAGTTTGGCAACACAGTACGTATTGTACTATGACCTCTTCTAGTTAGAACTATGAAGGAAGGTCTACATCTTTGTCAGTATGCCTTGAAGGTTTGAAACATGGAGTTCAGTAAGCTAAGAGGAGAAAAGGCAAGCTAGGCACTGTTTATGTGTTTGGTTTGAGCAACTTTCTCTATAATTTTTTGCAGGTCTTAGATATCTTTATCAGTTCTCTTGACAAATGACAGGATGTTGTAGGAATGGTAACTGGCCTTCTAGAGGTCAAGATAACACCCTGCCTGCTATTTACTTCTCTTCATCCTTTTCTGACAGGAAAAAGCCTGCTAAAAACACTCCATATATATTCATAGTGTGTGTTGTGGCCTTGGGAAGTCGCATAGTCCAACCTCCTGCTCAGAGGAGGGTCAATGCTGAGTTCAGGCCAGGTTACTCAGGGCTTTGTCTAATCAGATCTGGAAAAATTCCAAAATCAGAGATTCTCCAGCCTCTCTATGCAGCCTGTTCCAGTGCTTGCCTCTCCTCACTGTGAAAAGGCTTCGAGTCAATTTGGAATCTTCTATGTTTTATAGTCTTGGATTCTGGGAGCTGGGGCTTGTAGTTCAGTCTGTGGTTCTCACTGCTGCCTCTTTTCCAATGAGTTGCAATGCCCAAGTTAAATTTCATGGGAAATCTGCTTCCTCTTTTGCTAGCTGAGATCTAGAAATGCCCAGTCACTGCGCAGAAGGTATAAGCAGATAACAAATGGCTCTCTGCTCAAGTTCACTGATAAAGTTTAAGCAAGTGTTTCTAGAGGTTGAAACTGAGGGGAAGGGAAGTATCTTTGGCTTGTGCTCAACTGGAAAAGAAAACTTGGCTAACTAGGAGCAATTAAAAATGTAAAATATATTAATTTATGAGCTAAACAGTAGATAATAAAAATTTTAAGCTATCATCATATTGTTACAGCGATTATGTTAGAACTGGAAGATGAAATTATTTTTGGGTAGTATATGGGCTTCTGCAGGATCTAAACATCCTTGTCTCTAGCTTCCTCAGATTCTCTAGTGTTTCCTTTCTTTTGCTGAGTATTCTAACCAGTTGTCTCATGTGAATGCAGTTTTATAAGTTTAAGTCCTGTGAACCTTGTTTATAAGAAAGAGAGCACAAGACACTTCAAACTGCCTTGCAGCGTTGCAGGGCCTAAGGCAGGTACAGTGTGATGTGAATTGACTTGAGAAAGATTTAAGAATGCCAATATTTAGAACAACTTTGCATAGTTATGAAATTGTGAAATCTTAGAATATTAGTATTTGTCTCATTTAGTAGAATGAGTAGTAAAATGTTGGGATTAGGTTTGTTTCCAGTTGCTGTAACTCAGACATAGCTACATGCTTAAATCTACATAAAGATTAATTTGCATTTAGAACAGTAAATAGAGGACCAGTTGCTGGGCTATTTCTAAAAGGCATCATTAGTATGATTTTAGTTGTCTAATTAGCTTTCCTAAGGCGATAAAATTTAAAAAAAAACCCCAAACCAAACTGAAAGAATGGCAGTTAGGTTTCCTAAAGCCATCTCATGTGTATTTCTCAAACAACACATCAGAATTGGTAAGGGATTAGTGTTTCTTTTTCTGCATGCATGTTATTTAATAATAATTTATGCACCAAAGCTTATGCAACTCAGATGATGCACCAGGGACATACAGTGTTATTTGTCAAAAGGATCTGGATGACTGAGAGCTAAGCCCAGTGAATAGGCACATGGAATAAACATCCTTGTGGATCTTCTCACGGACAGCATGTGGGCTGCTGGTTTGATAGAATATGGTCCTAAGGGGGATTAGAGTTGGGATGGGGCTGAGTTTGGTGCTTCAGCAATTCTTTGGAACAGCAGCTGTGCATGAAGCAGTTGCAGGATTGGCCCATAGACTGTAATCCAGGCACATCTACACTTTCAGGCCAATGTTTGTAGCTGATCTAATATGTATGCTTTTTTCTTCAGTTAATCAATGCCTGGTGAAATGGTAGAATCTAATCCAAACAAAACTCCCTGTCACCAGTGGTCGCGCTGGTGGTTGAGTAGCCAAAGCCTGCTCTCTGAATGCTTTTCTTCCTCTTTCCAGCAATATTTTAATTTTGTGGCCTAACACTTACAAACCAACACATAATGCAAATGCTTTTACAATTAATAGCAACTTGTATGTTTTTGAGACAGGAGTGTGTTTTGTTTCAGGAACTGGGATTACCAGAGTTCAAGAACTGCGCAAAATATTTTAAATGTGGTTTAATTTCAAATATGCACTATTCTTATACGATTCCAACTTTTTGAACCAGCTTTGTGGCGGCTTCATCCATCAGTTATATTTACACCCTCAAAGTGCATATAAATATTAGAATAATATCCAAAACAAACTATCAAGACAAAGCTATTAAGGAGCCTCCAGCAGGGGAGGATTTTGTTGTACTGCACTAAATAACAGAAGTGGCTTGCTTTTTGTCTCTTTTGAATATTTATAGAGGCTAATGTTTCCAAAGTTATCCACATGAGCCATAATTTCTCTGTGCTTCTAGTAACCTTTACCAATCCAAGTAGGATGGATGATTAGTAGGAGCTGTCTGCTGTGCACGTCCCTTCTGTCCTAAGCAGCTGTTCCTATACTATAAGAAAAGGCAGTTGTAATATGCACATATATGCAATGATTTTACTGTGTTTCTTTGTTACTCTAGCTTTCTGTGCTGGAATCAGAAGTAACTATTAGTGCTAAAATCTATTCCTCGGGAACTGGCTTAGTTTGGGTTTCTTCAGTGTAACTCTTTTCCTCTGCTTCCCTTAGTGCCCAACAAAGAAGCAGTCAGGTTAACAAAAGTGCAGTGGGAAATCAGGTAGGCACCTAACAGAGAATGGGTAATGGCATGTGCAAGTTAATCCTAGTTGTTTGTTTTTTCTTGGCTGCATTTATTTGTTGTAAGTGTATCACTTACCTTTTCTGCTTTGAACATACATAAAATGTGTCATCATTGTCTTGTTTTATGGAATTTTTTTAGAGCTACCTGACTTCCATTGTTATCATCATTTATTGTTTAACATTTCTGCTTCTGCTTGCACTGCTGGTTAGTGTCTCCCCCCCATGCCATTTAGTGCATTGAATCTTTCATGTGACACAGCAACGTATTTTGTCATTAACTGCAAACTTGTGAATTTCAGAATCCAATATGCTGGTGAGTACTTGCTTGTGTGTGCTTTGTCATAGCTGTTTTACTAGTTCTTGAGTGTTCACAGCTTAATAGCAGTGAAGAGGCAATTCGGCAAGCAAAAGTGGATCTGCCTTTACCTCTTCTGAAAACTTTCAGTTGACTTCACAAAGATGTTAACAAGTTACCATAGACCTCTCAAAGTAAACAAACAATAACTGGTTGATGGTCTCGGATTAATTATCATTTTCACTGAGATTCATTAATGAAATTACTTGTTTCTTTTTATCATGTAAGAAGATAAGATTCTGCAATATGCTAAGTGCTGCTGAGCTTTGCTTCTTCCTTTGCTTTTGTGTGGGCTAGGGGGTGCTCAGTACTTCACAGGATGAGTCCTCTTTTTTAGTGTGAGATGAAAATAATGAAAATGCTACAACTTTGAGGGTTTCTGCTCACTTTGAGGGTTTTGCAAAGTCTTAAACAGAAAGAAAATTATATGGAATTACTACATACTTTAAAAGGAAATAAAAAATTCTAGTAAAAATAAGACAATGAAATTTTATATAAATAATTACCAGTATTGAATGGCTGTCTGATGTTTTTATGTGCAATTTGGTCAAACAATGCTCAAGAGGTGAAAGGTCAAGGTTTTCAAACGTGATCACTGAGTTTAGATGCCTCAGGTGATGAACCTGACATTTCAGAAAGTCTCCTATTCTGCTGTTGTAGATGAGTTCTAGCGTTTTTTAAAACAGTTGTGTTTTGAGGGATAGAAATCCAACCTCTTCTTTCCACCAAAAAATTGCTAGTTATTTTTGAGAGGTTAGTTAAAATAATCCATTAACTTATTGGATATGATGGTCCCTCAGAGCCTGACCAGCATGAGTGTCATTTTTAATGTAATATATCGTTTGGACTAATATTTAAAAAGTTGAAAGGTCTAAACACTTGAAATGGCTTCAAAGATTAGTCTCTCCCCTTTGAGGAGAGATTTCCTTCTTATCTAGCTGTGCTGGAACATGTGTCAAACACAACAACTGTCATCACTTTGGAGTGTCTCATTAAAGGAAAACTGACCAATTATCTGACTTTTCAAAAATATACAAATAAAATTAATTATTTTTTAATTAAGTGAACGTTCTCTCTCTAAAGAAGTGAAGAAAAAGCTTGGCGTTTTAAATGTTGAAAGTTGATTACTTTTGGTATAAAGGACTTTGCTGAACCTTTTATTTTAAAGTTAATAAATAGATGTTTGTAAGTGAATTGTTTGGAGTTGAAAAGAATGAGAAAATGTTTCTGAAATAAAACTTCATTTTTGCAATTTGCTATTTCAGGGTACCAATCTACCGCCTTCAAGGCAAATTGTACGAGCTAAGTTCTGTAAGCTTTATTGTTGCTTTTTCATTTAGCTTCTCAGAGGGCAAAGTTTGTCTCTAACTCATTGGTTTGTTGAATACTTGCTACTAAATTATTTAAACTGTCTTGTCTGTAACACTTCCTCAACAAGGTATAATTGCAGTTCATCACTTAACTGCTGCTAACCTGCTGTTACAAGTATGAACTAGTATAATTTAAAATGTTGTAGAAAACTTTGAATAAAATTAATACTTTTATAATTTACTGAGCTTTTTAAACTAAAATGACTAATTGGTGTTTATTTTATTATTTAACTGGAAAGCAGTTTTCACCTGATATAAGTGCCTCTATTCATAGGAAACCTTTTTTTGAAAGGTGGGCAAATAAGTTTCTGGTAACCAAAAGGAAACATTAGTTCTTGCATAAATGAACATGCTGTTTATGGGTACAGGTACTGTTCTTGGTATTTTGTTTATGTATAGAATTACTTCTGATAGAAAAAATGAGTTTTATTAGTAAACTTAGAAATATTTAAAGCTGTTTTAGCATTCTTTTCATAGCACCAGGACTATCAATGTATCATGGACAGACTCTTTTCTAACCCTTCCACCTCATGAGTGAATAAATATGTGAATGCCTTTAATATTACTAATTGGAATTAATTGTCTAAACAGCAGTTAATTTTATAACAAGTTACTCCTGGTTCAGTAATGGTTAGGTGTCAGAAGGAAATCTCTGTATTGTGTGTATTATTTGTTAATATCTATGATGAAAACATGTATGTTTTTCCAGTTTTTTTCCACATTATCAAATTATATTGATTATCATTTCAAACAAACTTAAATGGAACTTATGTTCAATAAAGGAAACAGGACTAAGCAGCACTGATTCTAACAGCAGTTTATTTGGATCTCTTGGGAGATCAAGATCATTAAGTTTTCCCAAAATAGTGGGATGCTCATTTGCAATCCATTGCTTTTCTTTTTTTGTAGCTTGCATTGAACTGAAATTATGCAGATAACTATTAACTATTTCTGTGTATCTCAGAAATAAGATGAGCACAGCAATTTTGCATTTTTGGAAGAAGTGTAATGCCAATTCCTTTTAACATGTTTTTGCTCCTTTTTCTTCTACTACTAATTTATCCTCTCACACTTAATCTTTGGCCTTTTTTGTTTGTCTTTTCTTTGCTACCGCCTGAGGTTTTGACCTGACTCCACAAAGTTTCTTTTTAAGCCACAGGTTAGTCTGTCTTCTAATTTGCTTGAAATAATCAATGTAATGCTTGGTTTTATACAGCACACTAGCAAGACCTGGTTTCTGAAAGCTGACCCACTATTAACTGTGTATTTTGTGTGCTGAGATTTGTTTTGGTGACTAAAATTTAATGTTTAAAGCTCCCCTTCGTGATAACTCTTTGAAGATAAGGGTGTCATTGCTCCATGTGCCCAAATGATGCCTCTATGTGTGAGAACGCAAGATACTGAAATTATAGAGGATTTTATATTATTTATGTGAAATTCTGTTTTCTGTTTTACATCTGCAGCAAAATCTGCTGCTGTGCTTGAAGTAGCCCCTGTAACTGGAGAAGGGCTTAATCTGATCTATGAGTTTCCAGTCACTGTCCAAGCGACTTGGAGGTTTGGGTTTGAAGGCTCTGTTTGACCTGCCTCTATTACAACATTACACCAGCAATCTGACTCACTTGTTCTGGACACAAGTAGCATTCAGACCCCATCTATTGTTCTAATAAGTAACTTTTCCCCTAGTAACACCTTTTTTCTTTTTAATCCTGCTTTGTAGCATACTTTGCTGTTTCTTTTCTTTAGATATACTTAAATCCAGTTACCTTGCATGACCCAGGAAAAAAATGCATTTACAGAAATTTTTTTAAGCAAGTAGATGGAAATGGAAACTTGTACCATGGTCGTGAAAAACCATGACAAGGCTGTTCTGTTAAGACATGCCAGTGTTTCTGTAAAAGAAGTGGAGCCCGTGGACAACCATATTACTAAATTTTGAAATATCCCTGAATGAGACATGCTGCTGTTGAATTTTCACCTTATCAAGACTAGAGAAATATTGCTGTTCTAAATGGCCTTTAACTGTACTTAACTTTTTAGGTTAATATTCCTTCATGATTGACTTAATCACCTCAGTCTTTGTTTAACTACATCTGGAAGCATATTTCAGTCTTTCACTACTGAATGCTTTGCTTCAGTGAAGTCTATATTTTTCTTTAAAGTAGACATGTTTAGGACTTAAGCCACTGTCATTATTTTTAAGTTATGTGATATATTGTGCAGTGATTTTTTGGGGGAATCGGTGTCACAAGATCTCATTCATATTCAGTATGAGAACAGATCTGATCAATTTATGCTGTGACATTTGGCAAATTACAGTGAAATACTGTATTAGGTTTCCCCTCTGATCTGTTGTTCTTTTTTAGTCTCTGTAGTACAAGAATCTTTATATTTGAACCCAAAGAACCAATAGCTTGTAAGAATGCCTTCCAATTTTTATTCTCTCAATGTGCTTACTATTTGGTAACACATGCCATTGTGGCAGAGATTAGAGGAAGATAGAGTAGTGCTGGGAGTTATGTTGTGTTTTCAAAATTATTTCAATGGTGTTATGTAACACAGCTTTAATAGAGACTTATGTTAAGTCAACAAATGCTGCTGATTGTTTTGTTGTGCAGGTAGCCAGTGTCATGATTTTCACATTTGTACTTCTGTCTGCCCAGTCAATTTCACTTATCTCTCACTTATCTTGAAATCATCTTTCAAATACTTATTTTAATGAAATGGAACACTTTCTGATTCCCTAATGTATTTCTTTTACAAATATCTTATTTGATTTAATGGAATTAATAAGTCATACAGAAATACATGAAATGTACTTATTGTGTCAAATCCTGCTTTCCTGTTTATCTGTGAATTGGTGGAGAATAAGAACAACAGATATGATTTGGGTTTTGTGCAGCTGAACTATCAGAAATTACTTCCTTCTGGCTTGTTCATGTGCATTCATACCCTAAGTTTCATTTTTCAGTCACCCAGATTAGGTATCAGGACCCTGAAGGAAGGAACTGTGTCATCTCTTGTTCATCCTGTACATGGAGTCCAACTACCGGTCAGAATATTGTCTTCACAAGCTTCTGGCAATGCCCGTGTTTTTCACCTTCCTGAAGTTCATAACTCATGTCACTAACATCCGATTTGCACAAAGTGACATTTAGAAATATGATAGAAAATATTGAAATTAATCTCTTAAATCCAAACCAACCAGAAAATGAACTACTGAAAACAACAATGAAATGCACTACTTTCATTTTTCAAGCTGAAGTACTATACAATATAGCTAACACAATAGTTTTAAAAAGAAAAAAGCAAAACCACACAAAAACAAACAACCCCTCCATCAGAGGATTTTTTTTTTTAATTATTTCAAAAGTCTCTTTGAAAATCTTTACTGCTTATTGCCACTTTGTTTTGCACTTACACCTTGATCTGACATCTCCCTCCTCCCTGACTCCAGCACTGGTACTGAGTATTTTGAAAGTGTAGTTTTTTGTAGTTAACAAAACGTGCCTGGGAAATGGGAACAATTCGATGAGAAGAACATGAGGCTTAGCACACTAAGCTCATCTTCTCTCTCTTGATGTCCACTGGAACTCCTTCCAAGTATTTTGGATAGTTATAATGTGTTGTAGTGTCCGGGATATTTTAAAGAACATAGTACCCTGTTTTCCCAGAGGGCTATAGATACACAGGTCTAAAAACTTGCACATGAAAAAACCCATGTACCCAAGATGTTGCTATAGCTTGGTGCCCTGCTCTTCATGCAGTGTTGTGTGGGAATGACAGCTGGATCTAATCCTCAGCACACAGGATTTCTGAGGAAACAAATGGCAAATTCCTTCCTTTACAAGCCAGTGACCAATGTTTATATTAGCAAGTCAGCTTGTTTCTGTCCACAGCCAGTGATGGTTATGCATCTATGGGGAGGTATGTTGGACTGGAGCAAGACAGGGCTTTTGGAGTTATGCGGCTAATGTAGCTCCTACATTAGAAGTATTAAAAAGCTTCATTAGTTCTTAAATGGCTTGTATAGTTTAGATTTTAAAATCTTGGCTTGGTCTATTCTGAGACCTCTACCACAAATGCATTCTTGTCAAATTGAGAAAATTTTACTCTTACTAAAAGATGCTACAAAGCCTATGGTAATGATGAGGGAGAGCACTGAAAGGAATAAGCGGTGTGTGCTACTTCCCTTCTATTCAAGTGCTTATCACCTGTAAGGTTCTTGAACATGCCACTCAGGTGTTTCTCACTGGTTTGCTTCTAGAAACTACCTCTTTATCCCCACTGCGGCATCTGTCTTCAAATCTTTTCCCCACTCTAAGACGTGTCTCCAAGCCAGTTTTCAGTAGCGTGCTGGCCTGGCTGCCTGTGATTCCTCTATGTGGATACGTGCTTCAAAGGAAGCAACACAGCATTTTCAATTGCAGGCAGCATGGTTCAACAGCATCCTCTCTCATAGCCTCTTACTTCAGGTTCTTTATAACACAGGAATAACCACCTTTACACATTTGCTGTGAAGTACAAATACAGCTTACCTTGTTGCGGAGCTAAGTTCAAGTGGTTGGGGAACCTTCATTTCCTGTATTTTTCCTAAAATGTCTTCTATTTGCATTTGTGTAGTTCAACAGAGGAAAAAAAATGAAATTAACTTGGTTCAACAACTTGTTCTGTGGCAGCTGCCTGAAGGCCAGGACACTGGCTATATATGCATGTTGCTTGTTTCCTGTTAAAAGTTTACTTTGATAAACATCGTAAAATAAAACGAGGATTTGATGGGTAATCAAGTTTGTATCAGTATGTTTCCCTTAACTTGCACTCAGACAAGCATTCCATGTCTATTTGTAAACAGTGATGCCCCCTCTCTGCTTCTTTTTTTTTCCTCTCCCCTCCAGTGAATGTGAATATTAAAAATAATGACAGACTTCTGCAGAAACCTTTGTGGTACAGGCTATTCCATCCAGTCTGCTCATGCTATACCGTTGAGTCTCCCTGTGAGAGTCACATCCAGTTCTTTCACAGCTTACTGAGTCTTCAGAACCAAATCAGTGTTTTCTTGTCAGTTTTCGTACTGGTTGAAAACCATAGACTATTTTTGGATCTTCAGTGGTTTTCTTACACGGCTGGGTTGGTAGTGAGTGAGGAAACATGATCATCTTACTTGAAATGAAATGGGTATTCTTGGATTATGTGCTTTACCAGTACTTTGACAAGCTTTTCATGTGTAACTTCTAATCTCTTTCTTTGGTTTAGCTGTCAAATATAACTTAGTCTCTTGCTCTGTGCAATACCAAAGCTGTGTTTTTCAGGGAGCTTACATGAGCATGCATGCTGAATGGGAGTGAATTCTGATTCTGAAAATTTTATAGATGACAAGGAATAGATATTGACCAATGTTTCTCTCTGATGCTGTTGATATTGGAGTTACTAGTCCTGTGAAGCCCTATGAGAGGAATGCCAGTCTCCTCTAGTTCCCTAAAAGGAAGGGGAAACTCATGTGTGATCACACAAGTCCATGCTTGTGGGACTTCTTGAGGGAGTTATGAAGGGTTTCTCTGAGCATTTCTTCTTTCCATCTCAGTACTTCATAAGCAAGTAAAGGGTGTTGCCATGGGGAGAGGCTGAGGTTCCCTGCATCTTTGTGACTGGGAGAGTCCTGTTGTCTTGTTCAGAGTATGATAGGAATGAATGTTTGCTTTCTGATATCTGTATCTATATATATAGATATAGATGTGAAAACAATAAATGTTCCAATAAAATTTCTATGTGATCCATAAAGCAGTTCTTGTGATCATTCTCTCCTTCACCTCTGCAGTTCTCATTCCTCTTAAGTTTTCTTTTGTCCCTCTTTCTCGTTGCATTATGCAGCCTCCTGGCCTTAGTATTTATAGGTGTGCTGTTCTTCTCTGTTCTTTCATCTTTGCGTTTTATCTCTTTTATGAAGTTCTACTTTACCAATTTTTCCCCTGATTTTTATTGCTGCCTTAGGTTTTTTCCCCCCTACTTTTTTTTTACCTCTTCTGCCTTATGAGAGGAAAATAGCTCTCGGATACCTCTCCTTACCACTTCCTATCTTAATTTCCAATTACGTGTAGAAGACCTCTCCATTTTGTCACTTGATTCAACCCCCTCTGAAGAGTCCCAATGTGTGCGAGAAGCTGCTTGCTTTGCCAGAATCTAGGTTCTTTTCCTGGTATCCAACTTTGTAAATGACCTTAACAATTAGACTAGAACAGAATAGTCACATATAAAGTTGTATGGACTTCTATAATGTGTTATTATACAGCAAATAAATATCTTCAGGTTTACACTCATACTTGCTGTAAGCACAATGTGACCATAGTTAGGCTTCTCTCTTCCTCCAACGTTTTGACTGAAAACATTATATTCACTTTGTTACCTTTTTCTTTCTTGAATTATAGGAACCTGCAAAAACTCTTGAATTTGCCAGAGACTCAAAAAAATGCACCTGTTCTTGTTTTATTTAGCAAGTCTTTATTTAAAAGAATGAATTCAGCAGCAGAATTATGTCAAGTGAGTAATGAACTAAACTTGTGCCTGACTGCACCTCTGCACAGGTCATTCGGAAAGGCTGGCTGACCATCAACAATATTGGCATCATGAAAGGAGGATCCAAAGAGTACTGGTTCGTTCTAACTGCAGAAAGCTTGTCCTGGTATAAAGATGATGAGGTAAGAAATGAAGAGCTTTTTTTCTACTGGGGGGAAAAAAAAAAGTATTTATTCAGTCTTCTGATATCTGCTTAAAATATTAAATCAGCTTGTATAGGCTTAACGGAAAGAATGTTTTCAGGTTTTACCTGTGTCCTTTAAATTTTCTCTTTTTGATTCATGCTGACCCTCTAAGACTTCTGTTGAAATGTTGGTTACATAAATACAGGGTGTTGTGTGGGGAGTTTTTGTTTGGTGCTTTTTTACTTTTTTCCTTTCTTCCTGTGGTTTCTACAGATGGGTCTTAAAAAAACCAACCAAACAAAAAAACACCAACAAACCCAAACAAACCCCCTGAAAACCCAATACTCCTCTATTTTTGAATGTTTTAATTATTGTCCTATGCCTGTTTGGACTACTTTTGCACATCTACTGTAAATTGGAATAGATTTTCAAATTTACTACTGAAAATCCAAAACTTGCATCTTGGTAAGAAATGTCACTGCTGATTGATGAATCTGAGGTGAGTAATATTAGGACTGGAAAAAGCATTTCTGTGATAAACAGGACATCCAGATTGTGCTCACTTTATTGAATATGTTGTTAGGCAGCTTTGGGAACCAATTTTTCACTAGTCTGTTCTGCTTAATTATTTTTCCAACAATGTTAGTAATAATGCTCTCTATCTAAAACTCAACAGCAGTCCTGTTGTTAACTTTTGAAGGTTAAAATGGAATTATTATGTACACTATCAGCTTTCCAGTAAAGCCTTTGTGTTTTTGTTTTTTTTTTTAAAGGTTTGTGTTGGTTTTCATAGAAAAATTGGGCTACATTAAGAAGAAAAAATTAGAAATAAAAGGATTTTTTGAAAAATGTTTTTAGCAAAGATTTAGTGATTTTTAGGGTGAACCAGTTCATTGTATGGAAAAGGCACAGGTAAGGAGAAAGTTTTAAATCTGCTAAAAAACATCACTCAATCTTTCCACCTTATTGTAAGTAATAATCAAAACACTGGCCTACCCCAGCAAAAGAGGGAGCTGATTGATGGGGACTGTGCAGACAACTCATATTTAGCATTTTACTGTGGTGGATTTTGTAGAACCACTGGGGAGAGGCCCTGCAATGCAGGTACATAAGCCAGAGCTCATCTGAGTCCTGTGAATCCAGAATGTGGTACTTATCTTAAGTAGTTACTTCATGGTGGAAATTGCATTGGTCAGTAGTGGGTTTTTTCCTGAATCAGTAGTAATTTTGGGATAGACTGTAAGACTGAGGGACAAATTAGTTTAATCTTGAAGATTTTGCCTCTTGTCCTTTTATTTAAGTTTTAAAAGGATTCAAATGTATTTACTGTAACAGGAAAATGAGTGCATGTCAGCAGGGGGAAGGAGCCAAGTGGGAGGTGTGAAGAGGTAAAGTTTTATTCTCAGATTACTGAAATAAAATTTGAAGTATTTTATTGTGATGACATAAAAACAAATTAAAAAGAAATGCAAAGGTACCTTTATGAATTTTAAATTTGAAGCTGTCTTTTTTCATGATTTACCTTGAAGCTACTAGAACTTACTGTCTTAGATTAGGTACAGGTAACTAACTAAAATAAGTGATGTGGTGAGATTAGCACCCCTTGCTATGTTCCATCTCAAGCACTTGGAGGTGCATGTAAGATATGACATGGCAATTTTGTTGCTTTTTTGAGTCTGATCTTTGTTAGTATGAAATATAAAAAATGCTTATGGAATGTCTTCTGCTATGCAACTTTAAAAAGAAATTGTTTGTTTTGATAGTCTGCTAGAGAGAGTGACCTGGGAATCTCAGAATAGCACATGCAGGGAATTGGCTGCTGTCTGATTTCCATATGCATATTTTAAAATAATATATCTTAATTTTCAAATAGTTGTGTTTTGAGAGTTATGAAAATACCAGTAGTTCATTCAGGCCAATACGGAAGGTAACTCAGAAATTTCTTAGAGTGGTAAGAGAAGATACCAGCGTAGGATTCCATGCTTTGCTGGTGGAAGAAGTTCTTCCTTAAGCACAGATTTGCTGTATAATTTGATTATTCTTTCCTGGGTTTTTTTAGAGTTCACAAAGTTATGTTGTATTTTTTATTTTATTTTTTTTTCTTAACTGGCCCTTTCTCAACAGGACTTAAAAATTAGTAAGGTTGGTTTTAGATACTTTTTGAAGATCAGCAAAGCTGTAGCTTGACCATTAGGTTAATCAAAAGACCAGTGTCTTTATGTTTCAGAAACAGAACTACTGTCTTCTGAAAATAAAGAAGCAAATATTTGATCTCCTGGCTGAATTCCAATTATTATAATTACATTTTGTCTCCTTAAAATGTTCTCCTCACTTGCAGCTTGGTTTGGTAGTTGTCACATCCTGTTCTCAGATGATTATTGAAATGGCTGCGTGCTGTTGTGTTTCCACCCTGGTAAGATATGTAGTCTTCAGTGATGTGTGAAGTGATACCCATGTTTATGTGTCTGGCCTGTGCCCGGGCTCGGTGCGGCTGTGCACGCAGTGAGGTCGTAGGGAGTTCAGATCCCTGTGCCTCCCACTCAGGACAGTCACTTCTGCAGTCCTTGCACTGTAGCCAGAGCCTCTCCATTGCAGCTGGGGAAGATGCAGAAAGTCAGGTCTCACCTTTGTTCTCTTGCCACACTGATGAGTTCCTTCCCCCTGTGCCTCTGCCCCTGAATAAGGAATGTTGTAACGGCCTGTGTAGCAGAGGGCTCTGACAGTGTAGTTTCCAAAGCTAGAGTGCTTGCTGGGACCTTTAGGGCTGTGTACCCCCTCTAGTGTAAGCCAAGCCCATTTTCTGTAGCCTGGAATTTACTCTGAGATGAAAATCACTCTCTGAATGCAAGTGGTTGCTTGCTGGTGCCATTAGAAGGATGTAAATTATTTGCTTTATTTGTGAGTTGCAGCTTTTATAGTGAAGAGTCCATAGTGGAATGTATTTTGAAGCAAATTACTTTGGCAAAAGATTTCAAAATTTATTCTATGAAATTAGTATTAAAAATGAAATTATTGGTTTCTTGACATGGTTTTTTTCAGTGCTTAAAGATATAACAGGATTTTATTCCTTGATGAGATTGGAATCAGTGCCTAAGAATGGTTTTTAGGCTTGTAATTATGGAAATACTGAGTTGATGTTCAAACAGTGTGGGTAAAGCAGTATTTACTATTAGTTACGTAGATACTAATATGAATTAGTAGCTGATTCTGCATACAGTTGCTTTTGTTCGTAACCTTGTTGCGTGACCGGTACAATGACTTTGTGCTTTTCCACTTGCTTAAAATAAAGCAGGGAATGTATTGTGTACCACTTTGAGGCTGTGGTAAAGAAGGGCAAGATTTGCACGTTCATTGACCTCACAAATAGAGTTTTCTGTCGTAGAGTATTCCATGCAATACTGGTTAAAGTGTTATAAGGCATACCTACACACACGTGTGGAAGATTAAATCTGAGCATCTTAGCTCTCAGCTGTTACTGTTTTGTTAAGGAGCACAAAAAGCTGGAAGTTTTTGTGGGAAGGTTCAAGAATCAGCCTGCAAATTTGAAGTTAGTGAATTAGCCAGTTGTACATTAGGATAAAATGGACTTTGGGAATGTGGAATGCCATCCTAGCTTGTGAATAAAAAAATTCTGTATTGTAAATAAAAGGATGCCATTTATGTAGTGGTGTAGCATTTTTATAGGGCATGGTCTGAGAATGTGATTTTATTATTCTTTTCAAAGCATCCAGAGATTTCCCTGGCTTTTTTGGTGTGCAAAGGATGCCAAGCTGGGCTCTAGGATAAGAACTTCTAAAAATGTGAAATTTACATTGATTGGCAAAATCCCCTTTAGCCTTATTTTCAAATAAAATAGTTCCATTGTGTTTCAATAGGAAAGGGTAGTATTATCAACATCCAGCGACAGATGCAGTTTGTATTATGATTTCACAGTTTATTCCCAATTGTAAAATTCTGTGTGGTTTGGGAGGGAGATAGGAAAATAAATGAGGAGGTGAGAGTGGAAAGGGGAGATGTTACTCTAAGGTCTAACATTGTGTTCATTTACAGAATTAACTTGCCACAG